TTTTTTTTTTTTAGTCATTTGTAAATAGATGGCATTCGCTGCAGACACCAGCCTGGTGAGGGACTTGGGATCAAGGAGATCAACGTGGACCTGATTGCTGTCAGAAAAAATGTTTACATCCTTCTACTTCCAGGATGAACAGGTTGATGCTAGCCTGCTTGTGAAGTGTGGCAAACAGTTCCAATGTCATTTTAATCAGTTAAGAGAATAAAGATCAAAATGAGAGAAGGCAGAAACGTGTTGAGCCATGATTGCAGGCCAGGGCATCATGTGATGCCCAAAACAGCCTTGCAAAACAAGTCTTCCTGTGCAGAGTTCATGAATAAGAAAAGCAAGACATAAGGAGTAATGACGGTAAAGAATGGAAGTGAGCAGAAACATCTAAGCTGTCTGGATTCATTTAAAAGAAAAGACGCCTGTGCACATGGCCCTTTCTGGTTTTCATTGGTTCAATTGGCTAACAGCAGAGTCTGTAGTTGAGTAGTCTGTAGTCACTGCCTGTCCCCCTTTCCAAATAATTTTGCCCAGCAAATTTGATGGTGTGAAGTAATGTTTGCTTCTTCTCACTGCCTTCAGCTGATCACCGCTCCCAAGGCTGAGAACAGCATGTACGCGCAGCAGCATGATGACTATCTGGAGAATTTCTGCAAGATGGCCACCCGAAAACTGTCCGTCATCACTGTCCTCGGCCCTGTCAGTAACAGCTCCATGAAAATCGACCACTTCCAGCTAGGTTCTCTGAAGTATTTTCATCGTATTTTGTTTCTCATGTATAAGGTGGGGCAATCAGAGGGAGAGGCTTTGGGGGGCGGGGCGTCAAACCAAACATTCTGATGTCTGCGGTGTCTTTGTTCTCGTGAATGGAAGTCTGGCGGCCTCTTTATTTGCATCGCCATTGCAGGGAGGCTCTGGTTGATGTTTTCAGCACTTTTAAGTAAAAAGATGCAAGCACTTTATTTATTTATTTATTTATTTATTTATTTATTTATTTGAAAGTCAATAAGGTAGAAGAGAATGAGAAAAGTGACAGTGCAGGGAGAATCTGAGCAGTGCCCGGCCCCTTTCTCCGGGAGCCTATCTTGTTGCCTCTCCTGCCGGCAGCCGTCAAGCCACAGGTGACCCCTCACAGTGAGGACCAGCCAGTCCCCTGGAAGCACTTGACTTTGGCAAGCCCAAGCAGGGCAGTCACCAGAGTTGAGCAAGGCTGTTAAGCCAAATGAAAAGTCACTAAAAATATGGGAGAAACGTGTTGAGCTACATAGCAAGACCCTGTCTCATAAAACAAATAAACTCTCTCTTTTTCTCTCTCCAGCTCTCCTTCTCTCTCTGTCTCCTCTCTGTCTCTCTCCATCTCTGACTCTATCTATGTATCTATATCTTATATCCTATTAGTATTTAAACTAATTGAACTGCACCCAAGTCTTTTCGGAAAGCAGCAAAATTTGGCTGAGTTTGGCATTTTCACAATTTTTCATATTAATGGTGCATGTGATATCCATGAGGCACACAGCTCAGCGCAGGCCGCTCAGATCTAACTTACTGCGACTCTCACGGGAATGTGAAGGAGTTCTGCAATTAGTTAAGCCTCACACTTGAAAGGCCAAAATTGGACCCACTCATTTCCTTCATAATTAATATATCTCTAAACAGTTATTTTTAAAATATTCGTTTTAATTTTTTAAATGTATTTAGTACAGGGTCTATAGGATCTCTCTCTCTCTCTCTCTCTCTCTCTCTCTCTCTCTCTCTCTCTCATTGTTATTGTTGTTGTAGGATCTCATTACACAGATCGGACTCTTAGTGATCCTGTTTTCAGCCTCCCAAGTGATGGGATTACAGGTGAACACCACCAGCTCAGTCTCAATTGATGTCTCAGTGCGCCCTGGGGGCGGGGCTGGCCCTGCATGCTGGGGATCAAACCCTAGTCCCTGCATCTGCCTAAGCAGGCACTTTAATCCGCTATCTGGCCGGCCCTTAAAATATTCTTTTTACAGTCATTCCCAACTTTGCTGTTGCTTAGCGATAATCAAAATCCTTCAGAGTAATCCTTCACATTTTATCACTATGTATCCTGACTTTTTTCATAAAATAGTTTATGTGAAAACATCTGAAACAATATAAAAATATTTTCCTAAACCAGGCATGGTGGTACACACTTGTAATCGCAGCACTTGGGAAGCTGAGACAGGAGGATCACTACAAGTTCAAGGCCAGCCTGAACTACATAGCAAGACCCTGTCTCATAAAACAAATAAACTCTCTCTTTTTCTCTCTCCAGCTCTCCTTCTCTCTCTGTCTCCTCTCTGTCTATCTCCATCTCTGACTCTATCTATGTATCTATATCCTATATCCTATTAGTATTTAAATTCAGTACATATGACATCTCAGATTTTTTTCTGGTGTGTAATTTTGGGAAAAATAAGCATTACAGTCATAATTATGTCATGGTGATGTCAATTTGAATTGAATATATTTTAGCTTTCTTTATTATGCTATATCTTTATATTTTTGTGGTAGAAACACAACATGAGGTTGCCTTTATACATAATATTTAAGTTCAAAATATAGTATTATTAACCATAGGTAAAGTGTGGTATAGCAGAACCCTAGAACTTACACAGGCATTAGTATTCAGTTACATATTCTGTGTGGTCTTTAACTTACCTCCTCATGAAATGACTACAAAGGAAAATTAAACAGCTTATTTTCCCATGCCCCACCATAAATCATTGTGGATTAGTGATTTTTGGATGTTTATGTTTGAGAAGACAATGCAAAAAAAGAAGATATTGTTTAAGAAAAACCACAACATTCATATAAATAAAAGTCACAAAAATCTGCAGGTCAAATAGCCCAGCAGATTAAAGTGCCTGCAAGCAGGAGCAGGAGCTGGGGTTTCAATCCCTGGGCCTGCTATGCCAGCCCTATCCCCGCTGAGACAGCAATTGAGACTGGGCGTGGTGGCACACACCTTAATCCCAGCTCTTGGGAGGCTGTAAACAGGCAGATTGCTTTAAGGCCAATCTAGTAGTGAGACCCTGAGCATCCTGTAGACCCTTCTCTAAAACACAAAAATAATTTTAAAAAGTCACCAAACATGTAGATCAGAAAGCAAAGAGATTCAAAAATATATCTGTTGAGAGACCCTGTCAAGTCTCCTTATAGAAGAGAAAAACAATCCGTGAGGTGAGGATTAAATAAGAAATGTATATAAAAACCTATCTGATAGCAGCCACTATTATTGTGACATGAGTATCACCACGATTTGATCTGGAGTCATCTGGAGGTTTAATGAGCCTTACAGTCATAATTATGTCATGGTAATGTCAACTTGAATATATTTTAGCTTTCTTTATTATGCTATGTCTTTATATTTTTGTGGCATTTTTGTCACTAAAGGACTTGCAATTGCAAGGTAGCTGTGATTCTTTTCTGCTGACTTCCAAGTGGTGAGGCATGAAGCTTCACAAATGCGCTTCCAGGTCAGACTGCATTACTGCTCTTGGTAATAAAAGTGAAGCCCAAGAGACTAATACCATAAAGCCACATATTTAGCGGTTAACAAGGAATCGACCATTTGCTTCCTGGTGTTCCACATAGCAGCGTGAGCCAGTGGGCTTAACTTTATTCCAGATGTGTAGAGAGGAAGTTTGTATTCAGTCCTGAAGAGAGACTGGTGCTAGCTGGTGATGAAAGTCTTCCTTGGCCAGATGTTCCCAGGGTCGAGTGTGCTACCCACCGACTCTTACACTAAGTATTTCCATTCCTTACTTCACAGAAATTTGGAAAAGTCATTATATGTTCCACTTCAACCTCTATATGGTCCCATTGTAATCATCTGGTGCTGTCTTGGCAAATTTTTAGCATAACACTGCTATTTTCTAGACATCTGGATTGAATATGCACTGAAGGGAGGTGAGGTTTTCTTTTTCTGCATTACTGGAACTCAGGTATTATGATTTGGGTGTTTGCCTCACTGAATGACAGCCTGGAACTGATGTGGAGTGGGCGTGAACTTTACTGTGATCCTAGTCTAATTCCTGGAAGGTCTTTCTCTCGCATGTTGTGTCCCAGGTTACCCTTATGGGAAAGGCCCCAGAGCTTGCAGCCAGGACTGGGAGTGAGCCATGGGAAAATAAGAATTGGCTTGCACCATGTTCTCAGTGAACCAAACCCCAACTTGGTCTGATTTTCAGCTGGAAATCTATCTGATGGCCTGACTTTTCTTCAAAAATAAATCAAGCACTCCCTACTTTTCCAGATTTTTTTAATGGATTTTGAAAATAGATGTGTACAGTCAACACAAGATGGGACATACTCATCAGCTGGTCCATCTCATTAAAAGTATTTGGGTCAGCAATGATGAACTTACAAACATCAGGAAACCTATCTCAAGACTTCAAAAATTAGTCTAGATACAGTTATTCAAGCTTGAGCAGACTCCAGTGCCCATATGGTTTTGTTAGAATGAAGGATATTACAAGCAAGTGTTTAAAATCTTATAACACATAATGACACACATTGCTGTTAATAATATTTAACAGCCTAGCATAGATTATTGATGTATATGTTGAGTGGATAGATCACAGACAAAGTTTTCAGGTAGGAATGAGACGTTGGCTAGCAGCACTTTGTTGTAGAATGGAAGGGAGACAGAAGCAGACTTTTTTCTAGTGAAATATAGAGATGAAAGATAGAATGATGCTGGCATTTGTTTAGGAAATTTTAACACATGTTACTTTTTAGCTTAAAGGGAACTCTTTAGTAATTTATTTTATTTATTTGGCGGAACTGGGGATTGAACTCAGACCCTTGCGCTTGCCAGGCAAGTGCTTATTCTACTGAGCCATCTGCCTGGCTCCTGGTAATTTATTTTGAAGGAAGGAGAGCTTGAGGGTAATTAATAATGAAAGAGGTAAAAAAAGTTGATAAAAAAAAAGTTGACAGAAATGGAGTTGACAAAAATAGAATACAATAACAAAAATGGCCGAAGTATTGATTTCTTGTGTGTAAGGAATTCACAGGTGAATTAAAAACCTTTATGAATAAAATGGTAAGATCCACTCCAGTCTAAAATATTAGGTCTTTAACTCTTTTGAAGAACATTATTCTCTATGGAGAAGCTTCACAATCAGCAGGATCCATAATAAGCCAAAAATGCTACTTTTTATAACACTGAAAAATTGATCCTTTGCCCCAAGTCTTCTTCAGCTGTGACAGTGGTGGACAGCTGCCTTCGCTAAGTCCTGCCCCTCAGGGCTGGGAGAAGCTGGGTGAGTGCTCAGCTCTCCACGCAGTGGCTGAGTGCCATCCCTGTGTTTATTCAGTGTTTGACTATCAGTCATTCTGTGCCCTACAGGCCAGAAACTCTGTCTCCTACTTGTTCAGGCATGCTGTTCCACTGCCCTTGCTGCCTGTGACATCAAAACTATAAGTGTCAAGCTCCACTATGACAGTCAGAGAGTAAAATGTATCTAAGTCTAAAAATCAAGTATTTAAAGAATGTGATAGAGGGATAAATTCTTCCAATTGCTGTCATTGTTATAGTACATACTTGAAAAAATTTTGAACAGTGGGTTGATTTAATAGAGAAGCCTGGAAAAGTGAATAGTGTGTTTTGTTGTTGTTGTTATTTGTTAGTTTGTTTGTTGCAGGGGGAAGGTGACAATACCATAAAGCTATCTTTGTTTTTATTTAACTTTCTGAAGAGATGATACCTGCTCTGGATTCTAATGTCAAAATGCATGCAGGTATTTTTATCTTTTGTCTTATTTTATCTTTGTCCTTAGGGTGCATAATAATCATCTAGGAAATTTGTGAAGTGCAGATGCCTGGGCCTCCTACCAGTGCTTCTGATTCAATTGGTGTGGATGCAAGGACTGTAATTTAACAAGTATTCCAAAGGATAATGATGAAAGTGGACAGTGAAATATATTTTGATAAGGAGTTTCTGAAGCAATGGGGGAGGCTGGAATGCTCTACGTATTGACAGAATTGTTTAAAATCAAGAAATAAATTAAGAAGAGAGGAGAAAAAACTATAGATGTCACAGAGAATAGAAGTCATGGATTGGAGTTTTGAACTAAATGCCTGGCACACAATTTTGCCTGATATCTTATAACTGGTGCTAATTTTTTCTGCAGTGTTACTGCTGTGTATAGTCAGTTATAGAAAAAAAAATGCATGGAGAAATTTACTAATGCATGAATTTGGGTACTGATATTTAGGGTTGGGTTCTGAAAGACTGAGGACCTAGTCAGCACCTCTCTTCGGGATAGTCCTACCAGCACAGAACAAAGTACTTCCTCTCATCCCTATCTTCATCTCCTCAATAAACCTAGATGCACATTTCATAAAATGTTTGGATCTGTGAATCATTTTAGCTAGGTTAGAAGCATGTGGATATTTTATAGGGTGTTTCTTGCTTCTAATTCCTGTAACAGTTGCTAATGACTAGATTTTAGATAAACTTGAGAAGCCGCCTACTTGATGTTGCCTTCCCACACTGGAGAGAATCACTTAACTCAGCCAGCTCTGATTTATACAGAATGTAAAGCATACAAGAGAGCTGTGGCCAATGAAGGCAGCTGAAGACAGGAGCTGGCCTCACACGTGCCACCCACAGAATCTGGCCTGTAGTAGATTCTGTCTTGTAGAGTTTCCCCATTCCAGTTTGGTCCAGGACAAGACAGAGCTTCCTCTGTTGTTGTTGTTAGGTTTCCCTATTCAATGCAAACAGATATTTCAGTAGTGTGGTAATGCAGAATTTTTTCTAGTATTTTGCTGAAATATTTCAGAAAACATTGTTATTTAAAGAAGAAACTACACTGTAAAATCATCTTCTTGCCATATACTACCAGAGCAAAGTTGGCTTGAAGCTTGGTGTGGGATCCTCTTTATCCTCCAGTGTGAGACATTTTTGTACAGGAGAAAAAAAAATACTAGACAGGAGTGGAGTAGACTGAGACTTACCTTTATTGTATAATTAGTTGCCACTTTTCCCTTGACCCAGTCACGGCTCTTCTCAGAGTCTGTGATGAAAGGCTCTCTTACAAACAGATACTACATCTTTGAATTCTGCTATAAGAAGTCGGTGGGATATATTCTTATTATCAATGAAAGGAGAGGGGTGCAAGGTTAGCTCGATGGTGACTTTGAACTTCAGCAGTATTTGTCCTTTAGTTCACTTTGAGGGAAGAAAAGCAAGTATTACATCTATCCTTTTCCACACTGCACTAATCATCAAATAGGGTTGTGTTCTAGTATGGCTATGATTTGGAGAAGGTAAATTTTCTTTTAAGGTAGGGATCTAGCTCCTAATAGTCCAGCAAACTTTTTTCTGAAGGTAGGAGGATCTGAATAGTACAACATAGAGACCTGTTTGAGAAGAAGAAAATGTGGGTGCTCTTTCGCTTATGATGGGGGTTACATCTTGGTGAATCATTGTAAATTGAAAATGTTCTGAGCAAAAAAAAATTTAATAGACCGAATCCATGTATAATCTAAACTAGAATGTATCAATCACTTCTCCTCAGAATTACATGTCTGACTGAGAGCTGTGAATTACTGTGGTTGTCCCCCATCATGGGGAAAAGACCAAAAATTTAAAGTTTAATGTACAGTTTCTACTAAGTATATATTGCAATATCACTATTACAAAGTTGAAAATTTGTTAAATCTAACCATTGTAAGTTGAATTGGGATACAGTCTTCTGTAAAGCTATCCTATCATTGGAAATGTTAAAGGTATTTCCAGACATACAAGTTGTAATGTAAGCCAGATACTTTGATTTGCATTTCCTGTTATCCAGTGACACCTTTAGGAGCCATACTGAATTATATGTGTTTCTTTCTGGGATTTGGCAATTGAAAAAACACATAATGGTTTAAAACTTCCATAAATTCAGTCACATTTTGAGTAAAATCATAAGAACTTAAAAAGTTTTTATTATGAATAGCATGCGGTTTTGCAGCTAAAAAGAACCAATAGCTATGTTTGAACACAGATTTTTTTTTCTCTATAGCTATGCTATGTTCACTGAATTCCAGAATTAATTATACACCAAGAAAGACACAGAAATACAAGACTCAAATTGATGTTTAGTGGAAATAAAACTTAACAGAAGGGTCTGGGTTGAGGGAGTTAGGATGAAGGCCCATCCCCTGAGGGCTCTGGCTGTCTGCTTCTAGACATAGCTGAGCAGGCTTCCCTTTCACTTGTCCCTTTCTGATGCTCACTGACAGAGTAGGCAGAGATGGAGCCTTTCATCACCCTTTCATCATAGCCAGAAGAGTTACTTCCAAATTAGCTTGTTCGTTTGCTTCAGTATTTATTAATTCCCTCTGGAACTTTTCTTTATACACAGTGTGGGTTGAATATATTAAACTAACACGGGCTGATCTGATTAGAGGCCAATGGAGGCTCAGAGCCCCCACCCAATTACTTCCATGCCCATATTCACTCACATTTCATTTGTCTTAAGATAATGAGAAACCCATGCGTGTGGTGGATGATGAAGACTTGGTAGACCAGCACCTCATTAGTGAGCTGCGGAAAGAGTATGGGATGACCTACAATGACTTCTTCATGGTATTGACAGACATTGATCTGCGAGTCAAGGTACAGGCTCTTATCAGGGATGATGCAATGCAGTCCCTTAGAATAGCAACTGTGAAGTTTTGTTTCTGTTAATGAGTCTATGAGATGTATGAGTGAGCACAAGTTATTTCATAAATGTTAAGAGGCTGCCTCTAGGGAGTTTGGCCCAAACAGTCCACATTGTCTTATGAATTTGCATTGAGAACTGTTCACTTCAGAACAAAATGGCTTAGACTGACCTGCAAAGGCCCAGTCATTTGAGTTGGAATAAATTCTTCTCTAAAATCAATGTTGTGCATTCATCAGACACTTGTTAAATAGCTGTGGTGTTCCAAGCCCTCAGGATAAAACGCAGAGTGTTTTTTGTCCTCAAGAAACTTGGATTTAACAGGGTTTTTTTTTTTTTTTTTTTTTTTGTTTTTTTTTTTTCCTTCAGGGTGTAAGGGTCTAAAAGTTTTCCTTCTGAGCGAACATGGAGAAGGCTGTAGTATTTAGCATTCATTTTTTTTTTTTTCTTGTGCTCAAGGACTTGGTTTCTGAACCATGAAAGTCTATGTTACATAG